GACTAGAGACTGGCTACTAGACCATAAACCCTAAAGGACGCAGCAAAACCCCAAACCCGTGCTTCACCCCGTTCCTTATCTCTCCTGTATACTTTACACCCCCGCCTGAAACGTAAACCCTAGTAAACCCTCGTAAACCCTCGTAAACCCTAGAAAGAAAAACTAAAGAATAGGGACTAGAGACTGGCTACTAGACCATAAACCCTAAAGGGCGCAGCAAAACCCCAAACCCGTGCTTCACCCCATTCCTTATCTCTCCTGTATACTTTACACCCCCGCCTGAAACGTAAACCCTTGTAAACCCTCGTAAACCCTAGTAAACCCTAGTAAACCCTAAACCCTAGAAAACCCTAAACCCTAGGGAATAAGACTCAACCTGGAAGTGAGTAGAGCTGACTGACGCAGGAGGATAAACCCTAAACAATAAACCCCAAACCCTAGAAAACCCTAAAACCTAAACCCTGAGAAGCAGACGCACTTAGTATTATCGTCTTGGCAGACTCCCCCTGAAGAAAAAACCACAAACCCTAAACCCTAAACCCTAAACCCTAAACCCTAAACCCTAAACCCTGATCGCAGACATCATCCCCCCCAAATTCATTTGCAGAGCCTTCCCCAGCGGTTTGCTTGAAAGCCGAGTGAAACCCTCACTAAACCCTAAACCCTAAACCCTAAACCCTAAACCCTAAACCCTAAACCCTAAACCCTCACCGCAGCATTTGCACCAATTTGTTGGGTGGGTAGAAATTCAGTTTCGTTTTCTGTTTTTGTTGAATCAAAACACTGACAAGACACTCCAGCCCCCATCCTCGAGGGTTTAGGGTTTAGGGTTTAGGGTTTAGGGTTTAGGGTTTAGGGTTTGGTGGCGGAGAAGAGGGTTTCAACGCGCACACACAACCACCAGCCCTTTCTTCTTTTCTTATAAGATAAAACAAACCCCCCTTTCTTGTTTTTTGTATTTTTTTTGTCTCCTTTTGTCTCCTTTTGTCTCTTTTTGTCTCTTTTTGTCTCTTTTTGTTTTTTTCTCTCTCATACAAACCTCGACACCGCCGATGGCTACCCTATTTCCCTTCTTTATTTGGGGTGTATGTACACCCCAGAAGAGCAGTTATAAGAGCAGTGTGTGCGGGGGGTTGCGGTGTATCTGCAGCTGTCTGCTGAAGCGGTTGCAGCAGCAGCAGCAGCAGCAGCAGCAGCAGCAGCAGCAGGAGCAGCAGCAGCAGCAGCACCAGCAGAAGGGGCTCAGCTTCGTCCTTCTTCTATGGAGATATTTAAATAAAAGGATTATATAAACTCAAATAAAGAATAAAAAATAAAGAAGAAATAAATAATTAAATTGTATATCACTCTAAGACATCAGCAGCAGCAACACGGAGCCGACAGTTGCTGCTGCTGCTGCTGTT